GCTAGCAAAATATATTTATTTATTTAAAAATATCATGTATTTGTATTTGAACTTTTTTATATTGGTATTATTTTACTACATACTCCCTCTGTCTCAAAATATAAGATATTTTTGGTCTAAATCTAGAACAAAAAACGTCTTTATTTTAAGATAGGAGAGTATAATTTATGTTTTTATTAACCAAGTTTATGATAAAAAAAATGACTGAAATACAAGGGGACTAACAGAAACGAAGAAAGGGAGTACCAATTTTGAAGATGATGCATTTGTGAATGCCTATCAAAACCTAACGAGTGCCTCTTTGATTGATTTGTAAAGTAGAAAAAACACAGGAAGAGGGTGTCTGCCATATTCGTATATAGGATTGCTCCGATGTTTGATTGAGCACATGAAAACACATAGAAATCTTCATATAAGATTGAAGTGGATGAAAATGTATCTATGAAATCTAGATCAAGTGAATCTTGGATTACATTCCTACGAGTCCAACGTTGTGTGTAGGGGAAAAAAAATCTAAGGATCAAAATCTTCAAAAATACCGTCACGAATCATTTGAATCAAAGAGGTCTTGGGTGAGTAGTGACAGCTAGGGTTTTGGTTACCGCTTGAGAAATTCGGTTACGGGGGCAGATTGATGCCCACGAGAAATCACCTTACCGAGCAGGATATCCCAAAAACAGTGAATTTAACTGAATTTTGACTGAATATTATCCAATTTTAAAATGTATTCAAAATTGCGTTCTCCACAGTAACCAAAAACCTCAATGCTTCATGAGATCTCATTTTCATCGGGGTCCAAAACCTTGGTGACAGCTTGTGTGCATCTACCAGTTCTTGTCTACCAGTCAAAACTGCACAACATGCCCCACAGGCGTCATTCCTCTCCCATCCACGTAACCCCTCCCACTTTCAATTCAGGTCCCACGCGTTACCTAAAAGCGCCAAACGTTAGATCGTTCCCTGGACCCTCCCCACAAGCACCGCAAGCGACTAGAAAGCCTGGACCCGCCGCCAGAAGCCGACGCCCCTCTCCACGGTCCATATGAGCCGCGCGTACCACGCCCGTCCGCGAGCCCCAAGACTCCGAGCCGCTCATCGCGCTCGCCACGCGCCTGCCGCCGGCTCATCGCCGCCGTCCACGTCCAGGCCCGCGAGATCCACGTCCGGATACGGCTCCCGCCCTCGCTGTCACGTATCGGGGCCATCTACGGGAAATCGGACGGCCCTGGAGCGCTGTCTAACCTTTTCCCTCCCGTGGCCGCGGGTATTAGAGGCGCCTCGCCGTCCCACGCCCACAGTTCTTTTTGTTCTCTCCGGCGAAGGAAATGAGCAGCGAGACGAGCAAGCGAGATCATGCACGGGAGCTCCTCGCCGCCGACAGGAAGCTGATGACCGTGGCCCGTTCGGCGCGACGGCGCCGGCTGGAGCTCCGGCGGCTGGGACGTACGGCGTCCGCGGCCGCGGAGGACGAGGGTGCGAAGCGGGTGCGGCCGGCGCCGGACAGCTCCTCGGACTCGTCTGACTCCGCGAAGGTGGTGCCGGTGGCGTCTAGGTGTTCGGCGTGCGTGTCGCACGGGGCGGTGTCCGTGATCGGGCGCCGGCGGGAGATGGAGGACGCGGTGGCCGTCGCCGCGCCATTCCTGGCCGAGACGGCGGGGGTGGAGGGCAGCGGCGACGTGGAGTACGGGGCAGGGGACGAGGGCTTCTTCGCGGTGTACGACGGGCACGGCGGGTCGCGCGTGGCGGAGGCGTGCCGGCTGCGGATGCACCTGGTGCTCGCGGAGGAGGTGCGGCTTCGTCGTCTGCGGCCCGGGGGCGAAGGGCAGCGTCAGGCCGAGGACGACGAGGACGGTGCGCGGTGGAAGGAGGCCATGACGGCCTGCTTCGCCCGGGTGGACGGCGAGGTCGGCGTCGACGACGGGACCGACACCGGCGAGCAGACGGTGGGCTCCACCGCCGTCGTGGCCGTCGTGGGCCCGCGCCGCATCGTCGTCGCGAACTGCGGCGACTCCCGCGCCGTGCTCTCTCGCGGCGGCGTCCCCGTGCCGCTCTCCTCCGACCACAAGGTACACGACACGACGCTGCCACGCATCCGTCCGTTCAAATTAACAGGGTCAGATAAATCGCCGGTTCACGCCATCTTTTCCGCGAGATCTGTTTCCGTTCCGGCCCCCGGGCTACAGGTGTCGCCTCCGCTGCTCCAGCCCCTGCTTTTGCGCGCGGGCGTGTCGAAACGGGGACGTTTCGTGTGTTCCATGGGCGATGATGGGTTGGTGTCCATATTAGAAGTTTTTATTTAACACAGTACAGACGCAAACGCTCATTATTTGGGCGGTCGTGTGGGACTAGTGGACTGCGTCACCCTGTGTCATGTGCAAAACGCATGATTTCGCCGGAACTCTCTTACCCCAGCTCCCTGGTCGGATCGTTGAGGGAAAAACTCTGGTGATATCTGGTAGGTTGTACTCCCTCTGTCCGGAAATACTTATCATCAAAATGAATAAAAGGGGGTGTATCTAGATGTGTTTTAGTTTTAGATACACCCCTTTTTATCCATTTCGATGACAAGTATTTCCGGTAGGTGCTAATCGTGCCGAAAAGGCGTCGGCACGACACGTATATGAGGTTTCTCTGTTGGGCTAAGGCACCTTCTCTGCCTGGTTGCCAAATGTGTGTCGATTGAATTTGGTTGGTGCAAAGTTGGTTTGGCGGCCATTCTTTTGATCCTCTGGCCGTACGTCTGTATGGTTTGGTTGGGAGTATACACCTCAATACATGCGTGAGAGAACACACTGTATGTGTGTTAAGTAGCTCCTGAATTGAAATTAAGTTTATGAGTTTATGATGATTTAGGTCGTTAGCTCTAGTTTAGAAAAGTACACACATAATTCGAAAATACACCCTCGGTTTCTAAATGTAAGTTTCTTAGAGATTTCAGTATGGACTACATATGGAGCAAAATATGTATTCCATATCTGAAATCTTGAAAAAGACTTCTATTTAGAAACGGAGGGGGTAATAATGTGTGAGAGACAGTGGCTCGGTCTGATGGCTTCCTCTGTTAAGTGTCAAGCTATCTTCAGATGATGTCTTGCTTGTGCAGTAGGACAGCAGCTCAGACGTCGATTGGCTAAACCGGGGAGAAGGAAATTAGCTTAGACTGTATTTCCGGCAATATTTCACTCAACATGGTTGAAACAACATGCAATAGCTAACTTCTCACTTGTAACTCAAAGTTAAGGTATTTGTCAAGCCCATTTACCAGTCGCGTGCTTAGCACTATGCCACTATCATAGAGTATAATAGGCAGGACCGAGTTGGCCTCCATAGACACACTTAGGGTTCTCTGTGTCTAAACCATTGCCAGATCTCATCCATCCATCTGTTCCGATGCAGAGTGATGTTAAAGATTAATGCTTAAGCCTAATGGTCTTTCCTTTTCAAATTATTTGGAGCGATAGCAGCTTTGCAAGTACCGTGTACATGGTTCTTGGGTTAAACATCTCAGAAGGTTGTGATACAATGTGTGCCTAGCTAAACCTTACCAGAACCTCAACTAAATCAAAAATTCTCTTGCCTTCCCTTACCCTTACCCATACTCAACTCAAATCAAATCTTACCAAAATCTAGAATGCGATGGGTATAAGATTTATGTCGGACACGATTGGTGTTGAACCACTAGAATATGTATGCCCTTGTTGCAACACACGGGCAGTTAGTAATTTAGTCCAGACAGTAATGGAGAGCGAAATGCTCACCGAAGTTGAGGTGGGTGTCTTGGCAAGCGATGTACTATGGACACTATTAAGATTGAGAAAATAATTTGCTTTAGATGCGGGTCTGTCAAGTCATATCAAGTATGCTGGTCGTTTATGAAAGTGTTGCCAGACTGCTGCTTTAAGCATTGCCATTAGTCAGCTATGTGTTTTCGTAGTCATTGTGGGGACCAACACGATGCGCCAGGGTTTTACTGTAATGATACAGGATGCAGAGATTGTGCACAATTTTGCATCTGTTCATAAATGAAACTAGTTGATTCAAGGTGCTGCTTCAAAACAATAGGAATATTTTTCCCCAAGCAGAGCTTGTGAAGCCTTATCTTGCTCAACAAAAACACAAATATGTAGCCGCGTTGATCATTTTTATTTAGATTTGTATCTAAGCGGTGGCAAGGTACTAGCACAATGCAATGCTACTCAACTGGTTAAGGTTGGTGATAGACAATTTGTCTTGTTTGGTACTCTGGCAATAATACTTGAAGAGCGGAAGTCCCTTGTCGCATGCACTTGATATGGCTTGATATATCCGCAACTAGAACATCTTGTTTTCAAAACCTCAATGCAGATAGTTGATGTGTCATTCTGCCTTTAGTTATCCGGCTGACTTTCGTCCAACGCGCTCTTTCCGCGGTAGCAACTTTATACAAAAGCATGATTTCTCATCATATCCATCATTTTGCAATGCAAGCTGGTGGTTCTGTATGTTAATCGTGTCTATTGCTTGTCCATGCAAAGACATTAGGGAATTTCTCTTTGCTGGCATAACTTCCTCTTGAACAATTTCGCTTCTTCTGCAATTCCAACTTTGTAGGACAGTAGTGTGTGGGAACGTTGATGTCTTTCTCTTGTTTTGACGGTACACAGCCAGACCGACCTGACGAAATGGAAAGAGTAGAAGCAGCTGGTGGCAAGGTCATTAACTGGAATGGACACCGTATCCTGGGAGTGCTCGCAACTTCGAGGTCAATCGGTACGATGCTGTACCGTCTTGATCTGTACATTTCTTGTCGGCAGACATATATGCACAAGTTAAATATTTGTAGCTGAGATTGACAGTGCTATAGTTGTTTTGAAAATATTAACATTGGTACGTAGTAGCTTTGGCAAGAAAACTGACAGTAGCCTAGTTACAACTTGACAAGTATTATGCATAATAGATATATAGATCTCACAAATTATGCACTGTTCTGAATTCCTTATGGTTGCCATCTCAGGAGACTATTACCTGAAGCCATATGTGATAGCGGAACCAGAAGTCACCGTCATGGACCGGACGGACAAAGACGAGTTCCTCATACTGGCAAGCGACGGCCTGTGGGATGTGGTGTCCAATGATATCGCCTGCAAGATCGCGAGAAATTGCCTAAGTGGGCGTGCGGCCTCCAAGTACCCCGAGTCCGTCTCCGGGAGCACGGCGGCCGACGCCGCGGCGCTGCTGGTGGAGCTCGCCATGGCACGCGGCAGCAAGGACAACATCAGCGTCGTCGTGGTCGAGTTGCGGCGACTGAAGAGTAGGACAGCGGCGGTGATAAAAGAAAACCGCAGGTGGTAGTAGTGATGGCCGGCTGGATAGGATGTCAGATTATTCGAGCATGGCGAGAGAGAGAGAGAGAGAGAGAGAAAGAAAGAATTTGCGGCTGTTCGCTGGGATGGTTGTAGTTAAGAGGGCTCAGGGACGGTGTGGCCGTGCTGCCGTTGAGTTGAGTGTGCTATTTGTAGCCGTGCTGCCGTTGTATTGCGTTGCGTTGGTTCTTTAGTTCTTCTTCTATATATGGTGACTGACGTTCGGGGCGAAGCGGCAAGAAGCATAAGCTGCTTTCGTCAGTTCTGATTTGATCATTGGTTTTTCCATGCGGTTGGAGTCTTGGGTGATCCAATAGTTTGTGAGATGACTGCACTTGGATCTTCATGCCAAGCAGTTCATGATTGAGGGTTGAGGCGGATTGGCAGGACCAGTGTCAGTGTGTCAGCACTGTCGGTCGATTCATGACTCAATTTGCTTCTCTGGTAGTGTGGTTCGATGCAATTTGGTGGCTACAGAATCAGAGCAAGATGGAGAGGAACTGAGGAAGAAGAACCCGCAACGTTTGCCTGGGCCTTCGACGCTTGATCACACTTATCTTTTTTTATGCAACCGATCAAGAGACCCTCTATTCGACGCCTGATCAAACTGAAAAATGTTGAACATGTATAGCAAAATGTTTCTCATGTATACGGAAAATGTACAATATGTATTAAAGAAATAGACATCAAAAGGTATATATGAAAAAAATGTACAATATGTTCAGCGCGGTAGCTGACCATGTTGTCCGGCCATCTCAAACGGCGTTCATGCAAGGAAGGAATATATTTGATGGTATAGTAGTCCTGCATGAGACCGTCCATGAGATGCATCGAAAAAAATATGAGTGGAGTGATATTCAGAATTGACTTTGAAAAAGCCTATGACAAGGTTAAATGGTCCTTCTCCAACAGGCCCTAATAATGAAATGTTTCTCAAATAAATGGCACCAGTGGATCCAAAATTTTATAACTGGAGGTAATGTTGCCACCAAAGTAAATGATGAGGTAGGCTATTACTTTCAGATAAAAAAGGCCTATGGCAGGATGAGTTCATGTCCCCAATGTTATTTAACATTGTTGCTGACATGTTGGCTATTTCAATTGAACACGCAAAGTAGGACGGCCAGATTGTAGTAGTAGTCCACACCTTGTGGATGGTGGCCTCTCTATTTTACAATATGGCGATGACACAATTCTTTTTATGAAACATGATCTGGACAAGGCTCGAAATTTGAAACTCAGAAAATGTCGGGTCTCAAAATAAACTTCCATAGAAGTGAATTGTTCTGCTTTGGAGAAGCCGTTGAGGCAACGGCCGATTATGCTGACCTTTTTGATTGCGCACATGATCAATTCCCGATTAAATATCTGGAAATACTGATTCATTATCAATGCCTCACCATTAAGGAGTGCAAGCATGTAAAGGAGTGTCTAAAAAACGGTTGAGCAGTTGGAAAGGCAAACTGCTATCAGTTGGGGGACGGTTGGTTTTGATTAACTATGTCCTCATAAATATGGTTTTCTATATGTTTTCTTTCTCCCAACTTCCAAAAAAGGTCCTACAAAACTGGACTATTTTATATCTAGGTTCTTTTGGCAAGGAGATGGTGAAAAGAAAAATACAAGCTCGCCAAATGGAGCGTCGTTTGTAGTGTGAAAGACGAAGATGGCCTTGGCATTCATGATCTGCAGGTCAAGAATGAGGCCCTACTCAGTAAATGGTTATTCAAACTTCTTACTGAGGATAGTGTTTGGCAAACCATTCTGCACAACAAGTATCTAGGTCAAAAGGCGGTGTCTCAAGCATTTTGGAAACCCGGTGACTTGCACTTCTGGGCTGGCCCAATGGCGACAAAGAAACATCTCTTTCGCTTTGGGTCTTTCGCGATAAAAGACGGGTCGGAGATTCGTTTTTGGGGAGACATATGGCTAGGCAAGGCTAGTCTCCGAACAATATCCAGTCTTATACAACATTGCTCGCGATAAGAATAATACTATTGCATAGGTGCTCAGTTCATCCCTACCGAATATTTTGTTCAGGCAGGATTTGATTGCCCCCGACTTGTGTCATGGCATAATCTTTTATCCAGACTGGATTCAATTAACCTGACACAAGGTTAGGATGTGTTTCGCTGGAACCTTACTATATCCGGGTCTTTCACTGTAGACTCTATGTACTATGCACTCACACATTCTAAGGTACCAGTCAGTAATAACAAAAAAATTTGGAAGTCCATGATTCCACTAAAAGTGAATTTTTTTATGTGTATCTTCGTAGGGGAGTTATGTTAACTAAAGACAATCTCGCACGACGCAACTGACAAGGGAGTAAGAAGTGTTGTTTTTGTATTCATGACGAGACAATCAAACACCTTCTTTTCAATGCAAGCTTGCACGTTCTACGTGGTCATCATCTAAATAGCATTAAATTTGCATCCGCCCACAAATGTTGCCAATATTTTTGGTCATTAATTGGATGGTATTCCAAATAGTTCCAAAATGCTAATAAGGGAGGGAGTGTATGCCTTAATTTGGTCACTGTGACTATGTAGAAATGATTTGATTTTCAATACAAAATGCTTTTCCTTTGCAGGTTATTTTCCGGTGTACGCACTCTCTCTATATGTGGTCTATTCTAGAACGACCGAAGTACCAACCGCTATTTAAGGCAGTGTGTACGCGATTGGACCAGGTGTCTATGAAAGTATGGAGGTGGCAACATAACCTTCGGATCGATCCACCACCTCCTTCGACTCAACCCGGCAATCCGACCCATGGGCAAGCGCGCCCATGGGCACCCGACCCTAATGGGTAGGGTATGGGTCGTCATTTTCACCCATGGGTAAGCCCGATGGGTAACCCGATTAGTCATGGGTAGGGTATGGGCATAAAGTCCTGCCCGTGGGTCACCCGATGGGTCGCCCGATTAACTGACATGTGTGTCTCGGTATAAAAAAAGGCCTAAACTAGTCACCTGGTCTCGCACTACCCCATTGTTTCTGTATGCTACATATGGCTCACAGCTTTTTCTAGACAAATATGGCTCACTGCTGCCATTTGCTAGCCACTCAATACACAGCCCACTTTGATTTAGTAGATTAGACAGCCCACTTTGATTTAGTAGATCAGACAGCCCACTTTGATCAGACAGCCCACTAGTACTAGTAGCATGCAGTAGCAGGCCCTTGCCGCTCCTTTTTATAGGCCTTTCCTTTTCTATCGGCCCATGTAAATAAGACTAGCTACACACACGCTCACGCTGGTGCATCCGCTTCACATAGGTGAATTAGTACCACCTCGCTAAGGTAGCAAGGAACGGAGCAGCAGGAAGGCTATAAATATAGCAGGTTGCTGTATGTGTGCTCTATTGCATGCGTGCCCAATGGGTGCCCGATAGGGTTGGGTGACCCGCCGGGTTCGGGCATGGGTCCGAGTTGTAACCCATGGGTAGGGTCGTGGGTGGGTCCTCTGCCCGATAGCGAACTCGGGCATGGGTTTGGTTGGGGTCGACCCGGTGATACCCGACCTGACTGCCAGGTTGACCTTTGACATAGGCATAATGTAGGTCTATAGGACTCTATTATTGTCAATTTGTCGGTTTTTATTTGATGAACTTTTGTCGGACTTTCGAATTTGATTGTGTGCATCCTAATTATACAGAGGCTGGGTGTTACTCATAATGCTTTGTATCCACTTGATGCTACATTTTAAGATAATAGAATCGCACTTTATCAAAAACGAAAAATGTTAATCATGTACTCCCTCCGTATCAAAATATAGGACGTATTTGCAAATTAAACTGCAAATACTTCTTATATTTCGCTACATGGGTAGTATTTGAAAAATGTTAGATGTGTATATGAAAAATGTACACAAGAAATGTACAATGTTTATATAAAATGTAGACATAACAAAAATATGATTTCAAAGATGTTAATCATGTAGTCAAAAACTGTTACATGTGTATATGAAAATGTTTCTGATGCACAGAAAAGTTGTAAAATTTAGTATGGAAAAAAGTAGACATAAAAAATACATTTACAAAAAGTTAATTATGTATTTTAAAATTTTAAAATTGTGTATAAAATGTTCATGATGTATAAAAAAACGTACAATGTTTATGAAGAAAGTAGACATAAGTATTAAAAATTTCAAAAATAATGATCATGTAAATGAATAATGTTCTTATATATACGAAAAAATCTTGAATGTGTATGTGAAAGGGTTGACATCAAAATATATATTCAGAAAATATGTTAGTCATGTCTTTGAAAAATGCTCAACATGTACAGAAAAAATCTTTAATTGTTAAATGTATTTGAAGAATGTTAAACATATATAAAATATATTATTGTTCTATACGGAGAAAGAAAATACAATATAACCTACAAAAACAAAAAGAACGAAGAAAACTAGTGCAAAAGAATGAAAACAGTGAAAACCATAAAAGAAATAAAAAATGCATGAAAACTAAGGAAACAGAAGAAACGTAAAGAAAATAGAAAACAAAAGGAAAGGCCTCTAAAGCTGGGAAAAACCAAGAAAACCAAACAAAAGCGTAGAAAAAAACCATGAAAAGAGCAAAACAACGATGAAAAAATATGGAAACCGAAGAAAACTCTAAACAAACAAAAAAAACCTGAAAGATAAAACAAACAAAGGAAAAAACTAGGGAATAGCTGACCAAAACCAATGAACAACTCGATCAACTGACCGAAAAAGTAACACAAAAAACGGGCCGTCGAGAAACATCGGGAGAGGGAATTCCTTCGCGCGAGAGCTGCTTCCATCTCGCGATATGCGAGATATAACTCTCACAGCGATCGATCACGTACACCCAGGCGCCTCGTCCTTGGTGTGCTCCGGGTTTTTTCTGAACCTCATGTGTACCTTTTTCCTTTGTTCATTTATTT